GGGGGGGGGGGGGGGGGTTCTTTTTCAAACATCGAAGCATTCCTGTGAAATCAAGGTGCTTCAAAAACAAATAAATCCAATAATAATTCGTATTTCGTAATAATAACGTATCTCTGTTGCCAGATCTATACCAGTAAAAGTTGCCAATTCAAATTACTTTTGAAACTCCTCAATAGAGGATAATTCTCTTTAGACACTCTCGACGTTTTATATTGAAATTGCTTTGTCCTCCGATCGGCGATAAATTACCAATTATAAAGAGAGGGCTTTGATACGACAGAAAGTAATTATCAAATGGCTGTCGTATTTTATCAATAATTGTGAAAATATATAGCATACAGTCCTACACACACACACACACACACACACACACACACACACACGCCTTTATTGTCGCAGCTTCAAACAAACAATCCTACTGTTTCTTTCAAAGGCGCAAGCAGGATCCACGGATAGACGAAACGTACCAGGGAATAAATCAAACCCCGTCGTCGAGCTCATAAACCGTCATTTCCCATCATTAAAGTCGAGAGTCGGGCGAGCATGGCCAGCGGACCGGAAACTGCCGTTTCAAAGGCCCACCGGCGGAACATCCGTTCTGCTCAATTTCACCGATTTTCCATCGCCTTTGTATCGGTTTATCTATTATCGTCCCGTAGCGCGGATCATTAGTATTAGTGTCAAACAGCAGGGCATTGTCGGCGATATTTATGATCGTTTTACCTGGTGCCCCCCCCCCCCCCCCCCCCCTCCCCCGTACCAACGCGTTCCTCGTGCTCGCGCGGTCCTTCGAAACGATCGGCGCGCGAAATCGACGACCCGTGCCCCCTCGAATCCCAGATGAAACTAGAACACGATCCTCCGCGTTCGCGTATATTGTTATTTATCGCGTATTATTACTCGCGCTTCGTGCGGAAATAAGAGACTGCTAAAGGTATCCCCGGTGTTTACGATCGAGCTCGATTGGCTAGCCAGCAGCCGATGGAATCTATCGGCTGCTCAGCTTCTTGACAAATGACCCGCACCACCGCTGTCTACCAGAAAGAAAAAGAGAGAAAGAAAACTCGCTCCGCAACGTACGCATACCTACACGTGTCCCCCCGATGAATTTATTTCGGATGATTCAAGGAGCCGCTGGATATCTGCCACTTCCGCTTTACGGCAACCAACGGATTACCATATAACGAACATACGCGCGGACCTCTGTGACACGAGATTCCACGAGTATTAATCTTCCGACCATCCCAAATATCGTTTCGTGACATCTACGATACACGATACCGATTCGATACCGGCAGAATCATCTTTCCGTCTCGCGTCCAACACCCCCCCTCCCCACCAATTCAGAAAGCGTAGTCAGAAATTTATCTGATCGGATCGGAGAAACGGAAGATAAATACGGTTAATCGATCGAGAACTTTAAAGAATAAACGATCAAACGGGGTGGGTGATTGAGTGACGTAACGCGCGCTTCTCGTTATTATACGACGATATATATTGTAGAGAAACGGTGTCCTCGTTTCGAGTAAAAGAGCGAGGGAGGATTGGTGAATGTCTGGCCGTCTTTCAGGTGAAGCCACCTGGTTGGTCGAGTGCCGTGTGAACCTGTCCGAGATAGAGCGTCGCTCGAAAAGACACCCGAAGGGTAACTGTTTGTACAAGCACCCCGGTATTTTTATCCGAATGACGGTGACTCATAAAGATCAGAGCTCCCTCTCTCGCGTCGTCCCCTCATCTCTCGCACAAACACGCGCACACCCCCGTAAACTCTTTCTCTTCCCACCTCTCTCTCTCTCTCTCTCTCTCTCTGTCTGCTCTTCCTTCTCTATCTATCTGTTCGCTTATCTTTCTCTTTGGATAGAGAGCACCCACACTGGCGCGCGACCAGCGACCGAGCGCGAGGAGGGA